TTTAGCCATCCTCTGTATTTGGACAAGCTAGTTCTTTCCGTTATTTAACTGTGAATATATTTCAAAACTTTACAATCTTTTATAGCTTCATTTGAGGTTCATTAATGCAGATTCGTTTATAAATCCAATTACAACAGAAGCAAGCTTCTTTATAATGAACCTTGGAGATAACGAACTGTTAAATTTTAAATTTATAATATTGAGTTTGGAAAGTGTAGATTTTGTTATTCGATGATTCAATGTCATTTTGTATAATTCAGTTCAAGTTTTATCGTTCATTTTAAATCTGTTTGCGATTATTTAATAGTTAAGAATATGGTTAACTATTTATTCTGGTCTAATAATAGTGGTTTTGTCTCTTAGAAAACAATTAGGAACCTTTCCCTTCAAAAAAGCTAACTTAAAAAATGATAATGATAATAAAAAGATTGATAAAACACGAAAAATAAAGTTTGAAAATTTTTTAAAAACGATTCAAATTTTCCGGTGATTGAACACACGTAACACATGTGACTGTGCCCTCTGCAGTAACGCCTAATTGCTCTATTAATTTCAATAAACATGGCATAGGTTAAAGGTTAAAAGTACTAGGCATGGGTCTATTAAAACTTATGGCGTCCCAAAGTAAATTAAAATTATATGTGGTGTCATACAAAAATATTTGAAATTTTATTCTATCGATATAGAATGTAATTTTAGAATTTTTTGCGAAAAATATTTTAGAATAAGATTTTGCAAAGACCAATTTAAAAAGTAATTGAACCAAATCTTTTTTATGCTTTAATGAGAAATTTTGTTTCTTAACTTTGCTTGTAGAATGCATAACGAATACCTCAGCGTTTAAACTTGTAGAACTCTGATTAAAATATAGACTTATAAATATTTAATCGTATTTTAATGATTCAAGCCAAATAATAGACATTTTACTAAAACTAAAACTATTATAAACGTTTTCATTGAGAAAGATTATTGATATATAAATGTTCAAGGTAGCCATCAAAAGAATTTTACGAAAGAAATGTCAAGTTAAAATTCCTATTATCCAGAATCTTCTCCATATCCTGCGTAAGAATAGTCTTGACACTTCCATATGAACAATCTATAATTATAGGATACCCTAAATCACCGCCCACAAGGGTGACTAAACATTTCGACAACTTGTAATTACATGTCAATGTTATGTCACTTTTTAAATTTGGATCCGAACTGACAAACTGTATAATGCCTTTCTTACTCCCCAGATGAAACGCTTTCTTTTCATCCCAGTTGAATTCGCATATGCTTTTGAACATTATACCTTTTGCAATATATGTTAATGCTTTGGTATCTTCAACATAAGATCCTGTCTGCGTTATTACAGTTTTGGTCGACTGAGAAGCTGTCGTTGGTCCTGTTGCTGCTTCAGTGATGCTAAGTCCAGACTTTACAAGCGCATTGAGTTCGAAAAGATAATTTTGTTCATGTTCTTGCTCAGTAAAATCAATCATCTCAACAAATTCAATGACATAATTATTATTATCAATAAATTTTGTCTTGCTACGATCAAGTCCCGTAACAATTTTATATTTACTGAACGGGCTCTTGAGACTTAAAGGATATCCCGATAGTAATGGAGCTGGCTGATGAATATAGGTATTCCCGAGCTCATACTCAAGATATAAAGACACACTTGATAGTCTTGGATCAGCACTACTAATTCGACAAATACCTTCTGTTTTACCACCAATAGAAATTAAGTTCTCATTTATAAAAAAATGCGCTATGCTCCTAGAGATTAAACCTTGAACTAGATAAGTTAAGCTTTTTGGGTCAGCAAGCAAGTTCGTTGTTTGCACGCCTATAGACCTTTTAATGCAGCCTTTTTGTCTGTTCATGGTGCGTTGTTGAAAAGATGACTACGCAGTGTTTTCATAAAGCGTTGATCATTTGTTTATTTACGCAATTCTAAATTTATATTTAAATGACTACTAAAAAAAAATCGAGTTTACTAATTTCCCCACCACTTTCTGATTGGTTCTACTAATTATTCACTTTTCTGAGTATCTGTGCTATTAATCAATTTTATAGTGCTCGATAGTGAAGTGGTGGGAAAATTAGTAACCCCAAAAAAATCAATATTACAGTAATCTGTTTAAACGTTGTTTTTAATTGCCATTGTTTCAACGTTGAAGTTACACACCTGATTTTCACACGAGTGAAACACATAAAAAAATCATTTTAAAATACTTGATCATACTTGATCAGTCCGCTAGTACATGTTAATCCAACATCATTTTTTATTATAATAAAATGATGTTGGATTATAATCGTACTAGCGGACTGATCAAGTATGCGTTTCAGCCGTGTGAAAATCAGTTGTGTAACTTCAACGTTTCCTCCTGTTCATTGTTTCCAATTCGAGATTTAGAAATAGATTTAGACAATTTTGATTGGTCGATCTGGAGTTTTAGTTGACTAAGTCGACTAATCGACTAAATTTTATTAGTCGACTAAAAATTAACTAAAAATAAATATATAGACTATATAGTGTTGTGCATCACGCGCATGGGAATATTTCGGAGGTTTCGAAATATTTTGGAACATAATTCTGGTCCGCATTAGCAGTAAGCTGCTATAATGCGGGCCAAAATTTCATGCGCATGAAATTTGAAACAATTCTAATTTGTTCAACACTAATATAGGCTAATAGTTAACCAACATTTCTGATTGGTTGACTAATAAATCATAGTTTATTATATGGGGTGCCAGTAGAAACCAAGCAAATTGTTTTCAAGTAAATTTTTTTAAAACTTTAAAATAAAATAACTCAACAACTTCAGTTTAATAGTTGTTGAGATATTTTGATTTAAAATTTTAAAAAATACTAAAAACAATTTGCTTGGTTTTTACTAGCACCCCACATTTACTTTATACAGTTGTACCTCCATATAATCACCTCTTATATAATCACAAACTCTATATAATCATATATTTTTTTAATATTAAAAATATCTTTATATAATCACAATTATCACTATTATAATTTTTAAAAAAAATTTTTACTAATTTATTAATAAAAATACCTCTTTAAAATCACAAATTAATAAAATTTTTTTTAAGTTCTATAGTAGTTATTGAGATTAGAAGCCAAACTGAATAGTGTTTATTCAAATAATTATCAGATATCTGAATAAAGTTCAGATTAGATACTCGTATAACAGATAGTGGATATTTGTTTACTATTGATATTTGAATAATTATCCAAATATTAGTTAGATTATCTAGATATTGGATCTGTTTATCTAGTCTGAATTATCTGGATAAATGGATGATGGATTTATCTGGATTGGACCTCTAGTTGAGATATCTTTAATTAAAATTTTAAAAAAATCTAAATCATAAAATTTTCACTATTTTTACTCAAACTTTGGCAATAGATATCTCAATAACTATTGATTCAAATTAGCTCAAATTTTTACTATAGATAGTATTGATACTAATAAAAAATTTGGCCAATTTAATCTAGTAGTTCTTGAATAATAGTTTGTATACAATAGTCAATTGTTTTAAAAAATTAACTATTATATACAAACAATTGTTTAAGAACTACAAGTCTATATCAGCTAAAATTTTTATATATAATATATATATATTGATACTATCTATAGTAAAAATTTGAGCTGATTTGAATTAATAGTTATCAAGATATCCATTATCAAAGTTGAGTAAAAATAGCAAATTTTGTTTTATTTAATACAGTCAGGGAATATACCAAATTAGAACAAATTAGAAAATCTAGTTCTAGAATAATCTGCACAGATTTGATTTACTTTTGTATGACTTCTTGCCAGCAATTTTAGAAAATTTTTTACACATTTTATTTATTGCTTAAACCTCCTAAATAAAAGCATTAATAGATAATATAAAACATGTAGTTTAAATAATCCACAATAATCTACTCTAGTTAACTCTTATTAAAAAGTAAATAAATTATTAAAAAAGTAAATAAGATTTGGAATATTCTAGTTTGCATAATATCAAAATTTTTTCTATTCAATTGATTTGATTGGTTAGTAATCATTCTTGGATTGACATAAAGAAATTTCTAGAACTATTAGATTAGCGTTTTATTACTATAAATAGTGTAATCAGCACTATATATTTAATGGTATATTCTCTGACTATAATAAATGTTTTAGATTTTAAATTTTATAAATAAAAAAATTATTTTATCTTTTCAAAATCACATTATTTTAATCAATTATTATAAACTGCACCTATAGTGTTTTAGCACCATATATAATTGTATTTACTAAAATTTAGAGTTAGTTTTGGATATTAAAAATTTTTTTTTATATAATATAATATAGAGCTAATATAAGACCCAATATTAGTTTTTGTAAGGTTTTGGGTTCTGAATATTTTTACTTAGAGTAGTGTTCCAAATTGTTAGTTAAAAAACTAACTAGTTGCCAACTTTCCAACTAATCGATTTGAAAAATTTTTAAACAACTAAACAACTAATCATTCAATTAATATAATTCTGAGATATTTTGCTTATTCAGGATGATTCAGGATGATTTCTTGAATTTGATTGGCTAATATCTGAAAATATCATGTGATATAAATAATCAATTAGTTGGCAACTAGTTGATCAACTAGGAACACTAACTTAGAGTACCTGATCCCATTTACTTAGTACATTTTTGATAAATGGGAACCTAGGTGGTAAAACACCATAGGTGCGTTTAGTAAAAGTGTATTTTAATTATTCTATATTGTGTGATTATGTAGAGGTAATTTATTAATTCTATTTAATCACCCTCTATATAATCACCAAAAATCTAGACTAAATGGGTGATTATATAGAGGTCGACTGTATATTATACGACTAGTTGACTAGTTATAAAATTAGTCGACTAGTCAACTAAAAAATTTTAGTCAATT